GAGTGTTTGATAGCATGGAAAATGGGTGGAAAAGGAAAACATTTTCCAACTTTTCATGAATTGTGGTGTTTGATGGACAAATTTTGGCATGGAAAATTTGGCTTTTATTTTCCCTAGACGCGCCTAACTCCTTGCGTGAGGTGAATTGATTTTCCCACCTTTTAGGTGGGAAAATTAATTCTGGGTTTGACTGTCATTTTTTTTTGTGGTAATGGAAACAAATTTCATGACCAAGTGTAAAAAAAAATTTCACTTTCATGGACAATTTTGATGCAAACGAAGGCCAAACGAATACTAAACTTTGATAAAAAAATGATTTTTTAGGAAAATTTTTTTTTTATTTTTATTTTTTTACTTTTTGGCAATAGAAACAAATTTTATAACCAAGTGTGGAAATTTTTTTCACTTTAATGGACAATTTTGGTGTAAACGAAGGCCAAACGAACACAAAATTTAAAAATTTTCCGGCTGGAAAATTATACCAATCAAACACACTTAATTAACAATTCACTGGAATTAATTTTCCAAGCAATTACTTTCCCTTGAATTCATTTTCTTTCCACCTATTTTCCATCATTACAATCAAACGGACCCTAAGTTGTTAACAAGGTGGGCCTTGAAAACGTGAGAGAAAAATTTGTAAGGGAAGAATACACAAGTCATGCCTTAACTATACCCCAAATCAATTTTAAGAGAAAATGTTTAAAAGTTCAAAACTCAAGTGGTAATTAATAAATATTATATATAAAATAAATTCTAATAAATTTACATCCTAAAATAAGGCTTTCAATTATTATTCTAAACGAGACTCCTCAAAACAAAAAATCGTGAAGACCAAGCAAAATAGAAATGCCACAAAGACCTTTTCGGAGCAAATATTCTCCATTACTACCGTCAGAATATGATTGTTTGAAAATTATCAGACTATTGAAGTTACAAATTGGAAGCTATTAGAATATCGAAAAAAGCGAAAATCTACAGAGAATTCACCGGAGCAAATAACTTTGATACTTACCGCAGGAATCTGGTTAATTAAAATTTGCCGGACGTAGAGGTCACAAATTGGAAGTTGTTAGCTTTGTATATTAGAAAGTCGATCCGGATTAAATAACTTTGATTCTCACCATTGAAATTTGGTTATTTGAAACCCGTCGATGGTTGAGGTCACAAATTGGAAATTGTTGGCACTATGAATCAAAATGTTTTAAGACAATGGTCACCGAGGTCGAAGAAATCAATAGCATATAACCAGTTCTCTTAAATTTATGACCCGTGACGCACTACATGTGATCTGTGACCTATAAATTGTCACTCATGATATTGATCGAATGGTCTGTAACCAGTTCTCTTGGATCTGTAACTTGTGGACAATAATCTGTTACCTATGCAATATGGCATGTGACCTATAACATATGAACTATAATTTTTTATCAGTACCCAAAGACATGTGATTTATGATTTGTGATCAGTTAATTTTAATGTGGCTCGTTGACATTGATCTATGATCTATACAATATAACATGTAGCATGTGAACTATAACTTGTGAACATAAATCAATAATCTGTGACCAGTTCTATTTGATTTATGACCCGTGCACATTGATTTGTGACTTATGCACATTGACCTGTGACCTGTAACATATGAATTGACTTGTGAACTTGAGTTTGTGACCTATTATCAGTGTACAAGACACGTGACTCGTAAACAGTCAATTTTGATCTGTGACTTATTGACATTGAATTGTAATCTATACAATATGACCTGTGCCTGTGAAGTATAATATGTGAACATAAATCAGTGATCTGTAACTCGTAGATATTGATTTGTGACTTATGCACAATGACCTGCGACCTGTAAACCGGTATGTTTGGAATGTTTGGATTTTCATTGATTACCAAGAGAAATGAAGGGTTCAGTATGGTCTAGGGAAATTTAAATTAGAGAGAGAAAGTGATAGTGGTTAATATTATTATTAATAGTAAATGTGGAATTATTACCTGATTTTTAGATAATTAAATCATAAACTTGTTTTTTGAATTGTAATCTTTAAAAACTTGTGACAGTGTAATTTCCATAATTTGTAAACCCAAATATTTTATCATGGGCTGAATATTGTTTATAGTGGAAATTATACTCACCAACATTTTTTTAACTTTCAATTTCAAAAATAAAATTTAAAATTTTTTTATACAAAAATTAGATAATAATTCAAAATTTTAATATGAAATAATAATATTATAAAACTAAATTGACCTACCTACCTACCCACCCCATTTCCCTCTAAACCGTAATTCATTTTCTCATTGTCTCGCCATTCTCACTCTACTATACTCTCTCTACCTCTCCTTCTCTCCTCGTCACGAGCACCGGTGCTTACAGGAGCGTCACTGCAATAGCGAATGCTCAACTGCGACTCTTATAGCGACGTGTCAAAGATGTGTAGATCAGGATGTATATCACAGTAGTGCTCACTATGGCTTACAGCGGTGGCGCTCATAGGGCAGCGACATCCATGTTGGTGGTTTTCGTAGATGTATGGTTTTCTGTGGGTGGTCGGTGGGTGATGATGACGATAGTTGTGTAGGTGGTAGTAAAGATGGCAGTGATGCGGGTGGTGGTGGAGGTGTTTGTTAGTAAGATGGCGCAATATTTGGTTGTTGCCATTGTTGAAGTAGGAGTAACCTCACCACAGACAAACAAACCAACCAAATCCAACAAAACAGAAACAGCCCAACAAGACACGAACTAAACAACACTAAAACAACCCAAACAAAACAACAAAACAACAAAACACCACCAAGCAACAACCAACCCAACACCCGCACCAACCACAACACAAAAACCAACACCACCAAACCCAAAAACAGCAGATCAGGGCACAAAAATCTGGCACACCACCAGACCCAAAGGAAGGCCCCTGTCGGCGAAAAACCCCGAACGGCACACCCAAGAAGCTCCGGCAACTCCCGACCAAAACGGTGCAAAGCCCCAAGTTTCATACGAGTAACCACAGCCCCCGCAACAGAGGCTGATCGTACTGCCCCCAGCCCTAACTTGACCGTCGCGCGGCACCTGCCATAGCCCCCAAGTGCAACTGATCAAAGCCACCACCACAACGGAGTCCAACCCGAACAACCAAGCGCCGCCCGAACCCCAATCGCCACCCAGGACACCACCGCACATCCCACAAACAGACCGCCCAAAAGGAAAAAAAGAAAGAAAACAAGCCCCCAGGGCATATCTCCCAGTGGCAAAGGGGAGGGCGATTAGGGCTCAACGCGGTAGTGTGCAGAGTTCGATTCCCCGCAAGGTGGAATTGGCTTTGTTGCAAGCGGGAGTTACCATAGGGTTAAAAGCCCAAGGCCTATCCATAAGCTCTCCACCCTGGCTCCTGGGAGGCACATCCTGCGATTTACCTCCTCCACAATGACTCAGGGTAGGGTTGGTAGAGGGCCCTCAAGATTAGAGTTCAACCTTTTAAGAAAGAAAACAAAAGGAGGTCCCCTCCAATTTCTCTCTTACATCATTTAGTTATTAAATATAATTGTCATCTCACCTCCCACTTTTTCTCGTAAATCTCAATTGATAAACACGTCGCTTGACTAGTGACATGGAGCATTTAGTTTCAGAACCCAAAAAGTACTAGAAATTCTCTCTTTCTCCTCCGATATTGTCTCTACGCATAAAGTGAAAATTTCAAGTCCATTACAAATTACAATAACTTTGGAACTACTCGTTTCACTCTCAAAACCGACCAGTCTGCTTCACAAAAGAAGAAAACATTGTTAGTTTTCTTAACCATCTGTTTGACCCATAATCCTTTACCATAATGCAAGATGTCTTTGAACACAAAAGTTTATCTACAAACAGAACCTGTAGAAACAAGTTTTATACAGCATAAACATGAAAGTATATCCACAAGGCATTAAAAAACTTCTCCACAGGGCAGTATTGGGGCTTAAAACAACAGTCAGCAATCAGTTATTGCAGGAACTCACAAGCATAAACATGAAAGTATATCCACAAGGCATAAAAAAACTTCTCCACAGGGCAGTATTGGGGCTTAATACAACAGTCAACATTCAGTTATTGCAGGAACTCACAGAATTGTGAAGGTCTATGTACAAACTCAGTTTAGATACAAATTCGATAGTAGGCTACCAAGAACGTTCAAACACTTGCTTACGTTCATTGACGAAAGTCGTCTGCTGGTGGAGATCTATTGGCACGACGGAACCAAGTGGTAAAAGCAGTGACCAAATGTGGGCAATCTTCAACATTTCGAGTTGAAAAGCTGAGGCATTGCTGCAACAACTCTTGTGCATCTTCCACCGGGAGCGTAGATATAATTCTCAAGAATGTTTCTTCTAACTCCAGACAAAGTGATTTATGATTCGTGCACATAGGTGACATATTGTCCTTGCATACAATCAACACCGGAAGCCAATCGTTTACCAGCTTCATCCTGACCTGTCATGCACGATAAAAGAAGGTAAGCAAAGTTGATAACGATTTATGGCCAAGTCTCATAAAAAGATACAGATTAGGAAAAAAAATTTACATCATCTCAGCAGAATTGAAATTTCTCCGGGCTCAAGCTTAGAAAAGACTAAAGTTTCTTATTCCATCGATTTTCCTGCTAACTAATGTACTTTTGATTTTAAATTAAACACTTATCGTGCTATAAGAATAAGGAAATGTAAACCCTGAAAAAGAAATCCAGTTTCAAAAGTTCACAAAATACTTTCCTTTTCCTAGACAGCTATTTTTTACATGATAAGTAAACTCGCTCAATAGTAAGACGAGGCTGAATCAAGTATGTAAACTGCAGTAAACATGTCAACTATCAAGTGGTTGCGACAGAAAAACATGTCAACGATAAAGTATCAGTACATCTATTTTCCATCGAGGAAGTACTGTTCAATTGCTAAACCCAATTTCCCGCTTAATTTGCCTTTAACTAGGATTTCCTTGAATAATTATTTGAACCCCAAAGTTGAGGGTGATCATACTAAAAATAGAAACAAAACCCATCACAAATCTTACTTCAGTGACACCATCAAATTAAACCAGAATCTAGAGACAGGACACATTATTGATTATACAAGTGGGGCCATAACAAGGCGAGGTGGTAGGAAGAATCAATGCAAAAGGCACTAAACTGCATATGACAGCAGCAACAAGCACTGCCATTTAGACGGTAGACAATAATTACAATTAAACAAACCACTGGGATAATTTTTCAATGTTCCTCGCATTTTTCAAAAGTAAAAAGGGTAAATGTCATCCACAAACACAAACTTTCACAACAAGGTTTTATATGATATATTATCAATGGCAGGAATACCATTATTTCATATGCTAACACAACGTTATTCTTATAGCAACAATTCCAACACCAAAACACTACCAGGTAAGTGTTTCTATCTCTTCTTAATACATTTTTCATCAAAAACTAGTAGCCATAAAAAATCTAGTTCTTCCTGTCCATTAAAATTTTTAAGGCATGTTGCAAACAATAATCCAATACTCAACATCTACTTTCTTCTTAGGCACCATCACTGCCATATCTTTAATCTTTAAACCTTGCATCCAATTCTCAGTGTGTCGAATACAATCAAATCAATCAGATTTTCTCTTAGACCATTAAGGTTTAGTTACAACAGAACTGCTTCCTTGCTTCATCCCGACAACCAAACCTTGAGTTCACAGGTAGTTAACAATCACACTTACTATTATAGCAAGTACAATGTGAACCTGCATTACACCTTGTATTTACTTTTAGAGCAACTTTTGTGCATTCTCTTGAAGTAGAAATCAAATATTTTAAGATAAAAGCACTTATGAGTTAAAAGCTCAATGATAATTCGCCCTGCAACATGGAGAAAGCATATTACACGAAAAAACTCTCCAAGCAAGATTCTAACACTTGATACATAAAGAGCAAACCTCATTTCATCAACAAGAACTCTGACAGCGATTAACTAGTGCAAAGCGTTAAGAACCTGTCTAGCAGCCAAAATGTTCCCTGTTGCAACAGCATTGGCAAGCCTGCTAGTGCAACGAAGCACTACAGCAGGGAGACTCGGAGCAATATTCCTCCATGCATCATCACGGAACGCCCTCTGCAAATCTGCAGTAAATGAAGCCTGCTCACTCCACGACTTGACAGCCGTATCAGCAACTCTCAACTCAATCATCCTCTCCACCAGCCACAGCAAATGCTTCCCGTTAGTCATAGCAGAATGCAAATTCAGCCTCTGAATAGCCTCAGTCTCATTATGATCCCCTCTAAAATTAGGACTCGAGTACTCCTCCAAGGATTCCTTCACAACCTTCAAGCTTCTCTCAAATACCTTATCCAAAACCCTCCTCACGGACTCTTTGGACGAAAAGTCCCTCAACAATTTCGCAACAAAAGCTTTTGCGAAAGCCATGTTCGGATGATTATGAATAGCAGAAAGGATTAAGCCGTGAAGCATATCCTCTGACGAGCCATTTTTCAGTGGGGAAACCCTAGTCAGGATCTCTTTCGATTCTTCATTACTTAAAAATGGAATCAAATTCAATATTTTCCTCTCTTCGTCTTCTGACCACGGCACGGCCTCGAGGAATTTAACGCAGGCTTTGATGCAATCCTCGAAGAGTAATTCGAGGGCGATGGGGAGCAAAGCAAGCGCAGTCACAACACTATTAATCGAAGTCGAGAAATCATCAGAATACAGAAGCCGGAGAACTTCCAAGTAGTCGTTGATTGAATCCGGCGTCGGCGGGACACCAAGGTTAAGGCGGTGGATTTGAGGAGGATCATCGTCGTTGTGTCGTTGCCATCGGTCGGATAGTAGAGCGGAAAAGTACTTAGCCCGGCGGAGGATATGCGAGTGGAGATAGATCTGAACATCAGACGCGTCAAAGGAGACGGAATCGAAAGAGGTCCCAAACGAGTCGAAGGGGGAGCGACGGTGATCAAGATGGAGGCGAAGAATAACATCCGCGGTGTCGGAATCATTGAATCCGCCACCGCCACTAGAACCCCCATGGACTGACGAGGAGTGACGGAGGGTGGGGGATTTATGGGAGCCTTCAGTTAATGTTTCATCGGTAAAGGAAGAATTGATAACGGCGCGTGTGGAGGAGAGCTGACTGTTGCTTCCTACGCGCTGCTTCTTCTTGGGTATATTGCCATCGCCACCTGTTGCGCCACCTATCGCCATTTGTGATTAGAAAAGAGAATACAGAATGAAAAATTAGAGTGGAGATTTTTATTTTAGATAGAAGAGGAATCTGGAAAGGGCAATGGAAATGGAGATTCGCCTGTTGCCGTAGAGGATAACTTCAAATTGCTGGGTATGCGATGTGCCTGCGTGGAGTCACAGGGGTGGGATATATCACGTGATTTCTGGTTTTTCTTTTTTATTTATTTATTTCTTTCTTTATATTTGAAGAAATTTGCTGGTTGTACATTGCCTTTTACACGCCACATGACAGAAGGACGTGGCATTTGCAATTTAACCTGCGTCCTTGTGAATGGGTAACCCAGCCCAAATGACTTTCCTCCATTATTTGGCTCAATTCTTTCCCTCCTAAATATAAGCCCCCAAATCAGGAGACATTTGCTGGTTGTACATTGCCTTTTACACGCCACATGACAGAAGGACGTGGCATTTGCAATTTAACCCGCGTCCTTGTGAATGGGTAACCCGGCCCAAATGACTTTCCTCCATTTTTTGGCTCAATTCTTTCCCTCCTAAATATAAGCCCACAAATCAGGAGACCTCGATTCCAAGACGTGCCAGCGGCTCTGATTTTGAGCGTCCACCGAAGCTTTTCCGACGCCGGTGTCCACACATCCACCGGCATGATATTCCGACTGATTCCATCAATCACTGTGACGAGAAAAGATCATGTTGTGATAAAAAAATTTGTCGATTTTTGTCGAAATGATGATGGACAAAGGTGTTTTTCAGCCATTTTTGTTGGTTTGGTTCGAACTATTTTTCGGTTCTACATTTTGTTTTGTAACTTGGATTTAGATAGCTTTAATATTTTTGTAAAAATTGAAAGTGTGTTTCCAAATGGGTGACTACATTTTTGTCGAAATGATGCCGGACGAAGGTATTAATGTTTTCCAGCCATTTTTGTTGGTTTAGTTCGAACTATTTTTCGGTTCTACATTGTTTCTTGTAACTTGTAAAAACCGAAAGTGCGTTTCCAAATGGGTGACTAAAATAGCTTTAATATTATTGTAACTTTGGTTTTACATGCTGTAATGTGTAAGTATGTATATGTAAAAGTGTGTTTTCAAATGGGTGACTAAAATATAGAAGAAAACTGCCCAGTATTATCATCCATAAATATGGACGAATTTGGGAGCAAGTAAATGACATTTTAATTGTTAACTAGTTGCAGAGAAACAAATGGTCAAAGACTTTGGAGACGACTATTTCGATGAATTAGAATTTTAATTGTTAACTTGTTGCAGAAAAACAAATGGTCAAAGACTTTGGACACTACAATTTCGATGAATCCGATAATGACAATGTGGTGGACAATTTGAACATATTGGATGATGATATATCAGCAGAAGGTAGTGTGGGTGTGCCTGAGGTTGGGATGAAGTTCAAGGATGAAAATGAAATGTTCGACTTCTACAAAAGATATGCTTATCATGTTGGTTTTCCAGTTTGAAAACGAAATTCAAAAAAGGATGATGATGGGATTATGAGATATATTACACTGACATGTAGCCGTGAAGGTCAAAGACCTAATAATACAAGCGGTCCGTTGAAGCCACAACCAACCATTCAGACAGGTTATAAGGCTAGGCTGACTGCATTTTCAGATATGTGTGGAATTTGGAGAATTAACACTGTCCATCTTGAGCATAATCATAAAACAAGTCCTTCAAAATCGAGGTTGTATAGACGTAACCGAGAACTGAGCGCGCATGTGAAACGACGACTTGAAGTTAATGATATGGCCGGCATTCCTTTGCACAAAAGTTACAACTCTGCAGTCATTGAGGCTGGTGGATATGAGAACATGACTTGCTTGGAGAAAGATTGTCGGAATTATGTCGAACAAGTAAGGCGATTGAGACTTGGCGAAGGGGACGCTGCAGCAATTCAGTCCTACTTTTCGAATATGCAAGCAAAGTGCCCGGGGTTTTATTTCGTGATGGATTTAGACGAAGAGTCTCGACTGAAGAATGTGTTTTGGGCAGATAGTAGGTGTAGGCGAGCATATAAGGAGTTTGGCGATGTTGTTACATTTGATACGACCTATCTCACTAACAAGTATGACGTGTCGTTCGCCCCTTTTGTTGGAGTAAATCATCACGGACAATCGATGTTGCTCGGTTGTGGTTTGCTATTGAACGAAAATACAGAGACATTTGTATGGCTTTTTAGGACGTGGCTACAATGTATGTACGGTGAAGCCCCTCAAGGAATAATTACCGATCAAGATAGGGCCATGCAAAATGCTATTGCGATTGTGTTTCCGAATACGAAACATCGATGGTGCTTGTGGCACATCATGAAGAAATTACCTGAGAAGTTTGGATACCATTGCGATAAGGGTTCTATATTTTCTGCTATCCATGGGTTGGTTTATGATTGTCAAACTGTTGAGGAGTTCGAAGACGGTTGGAAAGTTATGCTAGAAACCTACAGCTTGCATGATAATGAATGGTTGTCCGGACTATATGAGTATAGAGGTCGGTGGGTTCCTTGATACTTGAAAACTACTTTCTGGGCAGGTATGTCAACAACCCAACGTAGTGAGAGTATGAATGCTTTTTTCGATGGCTATGTACATTCGAAGACCTCGCTGAAGCAATTTGTAGAACAGTATATGCGACCATTGCGAAACAAGGTCGAGAAGGAGTTTCAGGCCGATTTTAAATCCTAATCACAAATGTTACCATGCGCAACGACTTATGAAATGGAAAAGCAATTTCAGGCCGTTTACACAATTTCCAAATTCAGGGAAGTGCAAGAAGAGTTTATCGGAAAGATGTATTGTGACCTAATTTCTGTCTCAGAGGGATATTCGGGGACTCTGTATGAGGTACGCGAGGATTTGATGTGTCATGAACGACGGAAGAAGAAAACATTTTTTGTCACATTTCAAGGAGATAACTGTGAAATCACTTGTAGTTGCCATCTGTTCGAATTTCGTAGAATTATCTGTAGACATGCAATTTCAATTCTGATTCGCAATGACGTCACATCTGTGCCAGACAAGTATACATTACGGAGATGGAGAAGAGATGTGCGAAGAGCTCACACGAGGGTCGCAGTGAACTACGACGGGTTAATTAGCACTCCTGGACAGTTGAACTACGACAACATGTGTCAATCTTTTAGTACGCTAGCGGATATGGTGGTAGACGATGATGAGCAAACACTAGCATTAATGGAGTGGATTGAGGAAAAAAAAACAAGCAGTGACGACGATGAAAGAGACATGTGGGAGTAACGTCCTAACACAGCATTCTGTTCGGTTAGGATCCGACTGTGGAGCATCGCACAGTACTGGGAGCAAGAGCATAAGAGATCCTCCTTCTGTGACGAGAAAAGGGGCGCCTAAAAAACTACGTAGGAAGAGCCCACTGGAATCGAGTTCGAAGAAAGGGAAGGTCAGTTGACTGTATTAAGAAGATTCTAGTTACATTGCGACAAATTAATGTATATGCATTTTCACAATTTCAATCATGCAGGCTCAATTGACATCAGGTAAAGGAAAGAGACCGCAGGCACGTCAAAAGAACTTGGGGACTAGTGTACCAGACGTTCCGACAACTGTACTACCACATCATCACGATCGACCACCATTACCGTATTCACATTTCCCATTGGTTAGTGCAACTCGATTTCCCATTAGTAGAATGTGGTTAGAACATTTTTGGTTACTCATAATGCTTGTAATATGACGTAGGTGAATGATGGACTTCATACGTTCACATAACCCTTGCAGTATCCAAATTTATTCCAACCGTCGTCAACAAATGTTGTTGTCAATTCACAGGGTAAGGCAATGATTTAAATTATGTACTTCACGTTCGCGAATTTATTCTTGTTTGCTTATTAACGTTTTTGTTTGACAGTATTAAATACGTTGCCGAACTTCTACCAGACCAAGACGGCACAATGTTTGACAGAAATAGTAGGAATGTTTGACAAAATGTTGTGTTGTAACTAGTGTTTATAAGTTTGGCAAAATGTTTAATGTTTGGCAATCTATTCGCAGTAGGGTTCAAACATTTCAGCTCTAAATTTTCTGTTAAGTGGTTTCTGTTAAGTGCATTTTAATTTCTGTTAAGTGCATTTTTCGTTTCATTTAGTTTTTGTATCCTGGATTAGATAGCATGTCCAACAAAGGATGATTGAAGTTTGATTTGTAATATATTAGCCAAACGTTGCAGGGGGCAGATGCTTAAACTTAACTCCAATTTCTGAGATCTTGCTATTTATACTCGTTCATTATTAGAACTAGGCAACTACATTTTTAATTCAGCTTAATACTTCCAACGTCATCAAGAATAACAAACTGGTAACATACACTAAATAACACGGCAATCCCATAATACATAGCTCCTTGTCAACAGAAAATTGGGAATAGCCTATTGTACAGAACCTTGTCAAAGCACTAAACGAACATACATAATAGCTACAGCAAATACGTTGCATAATATACTTAAGCATGGGTCTTCCCTTTGCCATTGGCTTCAGAAGTTATGTTGTTGTTGCGTTTAGTCACCTTGACAGAACGTTTAAACTCTTGCACGTCGCCTAAACGTAGACTGGATTCGAAGAGGCCAGTGACATCTGCAACTGATTCGTTCATTGCAGCATTAGTTGTTGTCGCACTATCCGCACTTGATTCACAGCTGGATTCACCGTCTCCAACCCATTCCCAGAAACCGCATTTGCCATCGCAGCAGTTGAACAACTTACCTTTGTTCTTAGTCTCCTTCTCAATCCGCAAAGAAGTGCCCCTTACACCTACAGCTATGACACAATCCGTGATTCTTTCCAGCCATTCTGAGAAATGAAACAAAGACAATAATCTAAATAAATACCGTGCAAATTACTCACAATGAATTTTCTCAGTACTGGTAAAGTATAGACAAATTTTCAAAGTACAATAATTTGTAATTCAGGAAATTCTAAAAGGTGAACTTGGATCATGAGGAACTCCATGTAACAAA